AATTTCAGATCGGATACCGACAATCTTAGCTCAGTATATCATACATTAATTAAATGAAATAAACATAGAATATTAACTAACACCCGGTATATTGACGAATTTTGCAAACCAAAAATAATATCCCCAGAATGCAAAGAAAACTAGCTGAAAGTAAAAGAAATCAATATAAACAGTATTTCGCTTTGTGTCCAAAATGGACAAAATTAATACTCCAAATGTATGACAAGGCTTAAAGTAGCAACAACGCCTACACATGTAAGTAAAAATATTTAAGTATCTGAACAAAGAATTCTAGTCTCTTCCCAAATTTGATTGTCCTGACTAATCACCTGTTAGGTCGAATTAATTTTAGAATGTTTTAAAGTGTTGCAATTGTGATGTATTTTAGTGTGTGATATGATGAGGCTGTTGACGAACTGTGATTGTTTTTTAAATTAATGAAATTTTTTTTTCAACTATCTGTTATTTTAGAAAAACTGATGATGGTGGAAAAATACACCGAAACGTATTTTAATTGATAAATAGAGGAATTAATTTTGATCACTCATAATATACATTTTGACTGGATGACAGTAATACCATGTATAATATGCAAGGGGTTTTATGAGGAAGGCGCGTTATTTTAGCCACGTTTTCTGGGTTCGAAAATATCCCTACTTTGCCATATGAACCATAGATCCACTGATTTACAGGGTGTTAAAATACAAAATGATAAATTTGTATTTATCGTTTTCAATCGAATTTTAATTCATTACCTTGTATATAGTCGATATTTCAAGTTAACTTAGTTAATGTTCCTTTAAAGTTCAAATATTTTACAATTAACAGGATGAATACACTGCATGTAGCGATCAAACAAAATGCGCGTTTCATGTTTCAATTAATACCATAAATATCCATATTAGAAATCTGGCCATAAACCCATTTTCCAAGAGCGAAAATGTTCTGGCGTTTTAATAAGCAGGAAAATGTAATTAGTGCAGCACAGTGCATTTTTTGAGGCCATAACAATGCATCATTGTAAAGTGCATACTAATGTAGGTTTCAGTAATTTCAAAATAAGCATTAGGTAGAGATTTATTAAACTATTTACACTAAAAAGTAATAATTACCTACAGGGCGATTCTGGAGGTCCCCTACAATGTGCCATGGCGGATGGCCGCTGGATATTAGCCGGAATAACATCATTTGGATCTGGATGTGCTAAACCAGGCTTCCCGGACGTTTACACCCGATTATCGTACTACTTGCCGTGGATTAAAATGAAAATGAAATCTAACCGAAGCGAGCTTCGGCAAAGATATGGATGAAAATACACCCTGGCAAATGAACTCAAAATACCTTGTTGAACTGATGTGCTTGTCGCCAATCATTGTTAATAAAACTAGTGCTTATGGTTGTTAAACGATTTTTACTTATACTTAACGAATATGCGAAGCGAATAAATCGTCAACAGGTAATTAACAAAGACCGGATTCGTTCACAAGGCAAATGAGAAAATTATTTCGCCAAAAGTTAAAAATAATTACAAAACCAGTATAAACATAAATGAATATTTTTCAAGTCATGATATCTCGTTAGTTGTTGCGCAGCGACGAACGCAAGAGGTTTATCAGTTTAACCAGTTTGGAAATCCGAGAAGTACTTGAAGGGTAATGAGAATTTTACCATTTGTGGAAACTTGGCCCAAGTTGATTGACTACATTTTTTCGCATTAACAATGCTGTCCAAAAGTGAAACCATAAGTATCCAGCAATTTGATGACCATGGTGGGGAACCCCAAGGAAGTCCACCAGACATCGTAAGTAAATGTTCTTTATGTTTTTAAAGTTTATTGTAAACTTAAAAAAACTTAAAGTTTATTGTAAAGTCACGGATAGTGACACGAAAAGGAAATTAACAGAGTACTACCTACGACAACCAAACCTATTTTGGAGCAGTTAAGTAGAGTTGAACACGCTAACATTTTTAATTTCAAATATTCAGTGTTTCACTTTAAATTAGTAAGACGTTGACGAGACAATGATGAAGTGTGAAGCAACGCAATTTTATTTTTCCCTTTATAGCGTTACACGAAAAAGCCGCTTTATCTTAATTTCTGGTTTATCAGACTCCAGAAAATTTCAAAGTGTCGCTTCTAAAACAGAGTCGTACTGAACATTTAGTTTATTAGTCGTAACCCCATAGGGCAAGCAATCACTTATAATGATTTCCAAATAATAAAACAAATAATTGCTTGTAATGATGATTGAGTAAAGTGTGTATCGTCCGCGCTTTATTTTTGACCTTAGGTTCGAAATTTTATCTCAGTCCATTCCATATATGCTTGAACAACTGCTTTAAATTCAATATATAGAGTTAATGATTTCAGGACTTCCATGAAAATCATTTCAATAACGATACTTAAATTATACTGAACATTGCTGTCAGCAAAAAATACACGGAACTGCGTTTCAATTGTTTTATGTCTGATGTAATGTTTGAGCGGCTTTGCAAGCTGTGGGTATTACCCTTGATTATTGCCATAAAAAGTGCCAGTTAACAAAGTAAAATGCGATATATAAGATGGCCGTTAGGTTTATTCTGATCAGTTGAGTTTGCATGACTAGAATTGACTGGTGAGATTGTGGCAGATAATAATCGGCAAAATGAAGGAGTTTTTCTCCTGGGACGTAAGTAAAACCTTGTGGTTCATCTAGCATGCAATGCTTGCTCAAGTCATTAACTCTCAATTGTTGTTCTTAAATTGGAGACAGACCACAATCGTGACTTTTGCAACGCAGTCACTTTCCGATATGCAAACCATTTATTGGTAGTACAATTTCGCAATTTTTATTTAATCGAATCTGTACATACTTTCCTGACTGTGTTTCAATTCCAAATCAAAATCAATTCCTGGGCTTCAGTCATTTATTGTCTATTTATCAATTAAAATACGTTTCGGTGTTTTCCACCATCATCAGTTTCTATGTGTAGCGTTGTTGCTGCTTTAAGCCTTGGCATGCATTTTTGCGTGCCAAAAAATGCATGCCAAGTTAATCACATGAGACTAATCTAGCTCTTCGTAGCTGAAAAAACCTGGAAACTCTTCGAAATTTCCTATTAAAGTGAAGTTTTTCCTCACTTAAACCAGCGGATTTTCGCTTTGGAGTTATATTATGGGTTGGATTGACGGATTTTTGGTTTTATCTTGGCGAATTTAAGAAAAAATCGGTGTTGCCCAACTATC